CGGAAGACTTCAAGTACGCGGGGATGTCGCCCACGATCTACACGACGTTCATTTGGATCAGCCACGACACGTGGCTGCACGGGTGGTGGCCCTACGACTTTTTGTCGATGGACACGTCGATCGCGCCGCTGTGGTACCTCGGCATCTTTCTCGGTCACTTTGCATTGTTTGGCGCCGCGTACGGCCTCTCGCAAGTCAAGGCGCGCTGCCTCCCGACGCTGCACCCCGAAACGTCCATTCAAGCCAATGGCGGTCGTCCGACTTCGTACCAGTCGATTGTGTAGTTGGAGTCCTCGTTTGTAAAAGCAGGCAACGAATACCAACTACATCCTCTCAAAGAGCTATTGAATGTCTTGCCAACATCGGAGGTGCTGGTCAAGGGGAACCAATGTATCACTCCCTTGATAAAACCAGATCGCAATGTGCTACTTTGGTGCGGGGCGAGTGTGATCGCAGTTGTGGGAATTAGCTGTGGGCAGTTGCGCGACCGGATGCAACTTCAACCATCAGCTGCGTGTTTTTAGTTGGTTGGGTGATTTCAGCTCCTTTGTTGAAAATCGTATAGTCTGCATTCATATACACGCATCTTGACGGCGGGTTGTGGGATTGTGACGAGCGCAGCCCACAACGTTGGACACGTTGTGACGATCGCGCTCAACATCCCACACAACCAGAGATACCAAACAACTCATTTCTACAACAACCAGAGATACCGTACTGTGGCGGCGCTCTCTGGAGTGTATACTATGATACCCATGCGCATCGATCTAATGAATTCGTTCGCCGTCTAAACCGACGCCAATCGTTGAACCAGCTTGCACCACGTGCGACCAAAAAGTGTGCAATAGTGCACCTATCACTCAAGGTCTCATGATCGCTCTGACATCAGCCAATCAATTTACAATTGTCGACATCCAGACGACCAAAGTATGATCGCCGATCGCCTTTTCGGTAAATGGGTAAGCTTGCACGGACGCCCGTGGATATTCAGCACCCACCACCGATCGTCAAATCACTCTTCATTGTTCCATTCGCAGTCGACAGCACAAGCATGTGGGTCCAACTCGTCATCGGCTCGATCCTCGCAGCGTCCTTTGCCATCTCGGGCCACGCCATCTACAACCTCAACCTCGGCGGTGGGCCGGCGGTCCTCGAGTCGTTCCAGTACAAGCCACCGTCGACGTACTATGTTCATTTGGGCTTTCGCGTCGGTATGCTCGTGCTGTACGCGGCCGTCTTCATCGCCGAAGCCGAGAACCTCGGGACCAAAATGATCTCGTTCTACACGGTCTGGAACTTTATCCTCCAGAGTCTCTACTATCTCTGGGCCATCAAGTACCAGCTGTCGACGTCGAGATCGCGCCAGACGCCCGTCACGGTCACGCGCGAAGGCTCGCTCCTCAACTCGCTCTTCAACATTTGCTTTGCGAATTCGCTTTTGGTGATTGTCATCTACTGGGGTCTCCTCTACAACCCCAACATGCGCTGGTACAGCTACATCCAGCACGGCGGCAACACGCTCCTCTTCTTCGTCGAGTTTGCACTCAACGGCTTTCTCGTGCAGGGCACGGACGTGATGTACGTCTCGCTCTTCCCCTCGGTCTACGCCGTCTTCATCTGGATCAGCAACGTCACGTGGCTCGATGGCTGGTGGCCCTACCGCTTTCTCACGATGGAGACGCCGGTCGCGCCGCTTTGGTACATTGGTATCTTTGTCGGTCACTTTGCCATGTTTGGCCTCGCGCTCGCGATTTCGTCGGCCAAAGCCAAGTACTTTCCTTCGCTCTGCCCTGTCGTTCAAGCCAACAAGCTCTTTATGAACTCGATCAACTACGATACGATTGCTTAAGATACCTCGTAATAATTTCTTTTTATTTCTCATCAAATATCAAGTGTCTCTATCTATCTATCTATCTATCTATCTATCTATCTATCTATCTATCTATCTATCTATCTATCTATCTATCGAGCTATCTGCGCAACCGAAGGGCTCCAGCTGACTCGTGCGTCGCACTGTCAATGCACCAAACAAACAAGTAACAAGTTCAAAATGGAATAAATACAAAACTTAGGCGTGGCTCGCGACGAGCTCGTCCTTGGCCGACTGGCAGTGGCTGTAGACGACGTCTTCTTTTGTCATGTCGGCGGTAATGTGGCAGCGCTTGGGGAGGTACTTGGTCTTGGCCTTGGCGAGCAAGAGCACAAAGCCAAAGCACGCAATGTGGGCGACGATCACGCCCACATACATGAGCGGCGCGAGCGCTTTTTCTTGGTTCATAAACGTATACGGCCACTTGTCGAGAAACGTCGCCTTGCAGATCCAAATGACCGTGACGTACACGACGGGCCACATAGCGGCAAACGGAGCGTCACTGCGCACCATAAAGCAGTGGTTCAAGCAAAACTCGAGAATGAGAATCGCATTGTTGCCCGCGTGCTCCATGTAGCCGACCCACCACGTCGACGCCTTGTAGATGACCGACCAGTAGACGAGCGCAACGAGGAAGCTCGTCGAGAAGACGACCGTGAAGAGCGTCGAGAGCCATTGCCGCTCGCGCGTCATCGGGACAAACGACCCCGCATGGCTCCACTCGGCCACTTGGACTTTGATGGCCCAGAGAAAATAGACCAACTGGAGCGTGAAGTTCCAGACCGTGTACATGGTGAACGCGCGGCCTTCTTGGTACGTGAGCTGGTAGATGAGCGTCGTAATGTAGAGCGCGGCCACGACAACGCGAAAGCCAAAGAGGCCTTTAAAGTGCGTCGACGACGAGTACGTGATGGAGCTCAGCGAGACCGGTGCCGTCTTGACGACACGGTACATGCCGTGGAAGGCGTAGAGAGCGCAGAGGAAGACGATGACCGCGATGACGTAACCTTGCCAGCCCATTATGCGAAGATGACGACGAGTGCGAGGTAGAGGTGCAAATGCAAAGTGAGCCGCACGAGTGGTTACATTCACTGCAGCATCTGTTTTGCGACAGGCCCTATGCGGGAAGAGACACGAGGAAAGGCTACCAAGGGGCGCAACGCTACCTGGACGGGATCGTAGAAACACTCGAAGGAATACCACTCGGGTGTCTAATTCTGTTGCCCGGTTGCGGGCCGCTTGTCATTGACGAATGGATATGCTTGAATGTGTAGCAAAGGCGGATAGTACTAGTATGCAAATGAAGCGGAAGTAGGACGACGGTTGTCCGCATCACGTTCCCCGATTGTTCCGCACCTGACGTCACTTGCCCGCGCAAATGACGCCGCGCCCCGTGAGCCATGAACTGCGAGGTGCACTGGCTGCGGCAGCCACGTGTTGCGCACCGCGGATACCACATGTTGCGCCCCGTGCAGCATTGCACGCGCGATGTATTGACGCCAGCGACAGGTGTCGCAGCCAGCGTCACGCCTAGTACGATTGGTGATTATAGTTTGAACGACGTCACCGACTTGAAGACAACGTTGATGCAAGCCAAACGACGAGAGTCTATCTTTTTAGCAATGTGGGAGGGTTTTCAGACCGTGGGATAGTATGGTGGGATCTGCAGTGGCATGGCTCCTGGTCGGACCCGGTCTCCTTCAACGATCGCAGTAGCGCCCGTCTGATCCCCGTGTCTTTTTGTCGAGGTACCCAGGATGTCAGTCCAAGGCACTCAAAAGAAAAAAAAGAATTTATTTTCTTTTTCTAGTTGCCACTCGTTTCGTACCTACTGAGTCTCTCGAATGCAATGTTAAGTAATAGAGCACTACGGGTGATGGTCAAGGACGCCAGTGTCGCGGCCTGCAAACGCTGTGGGCCCTAATTCCTTGGCACGTGGCGCTTTAGAGTCGAAGGCTGATTCGGAGCTGACCCGAAGCTCAACTTGCGCGCAGATGCTCGTGTCAACGTTGAAGGCTGTCCTCCCATTCTGCAGTCGACTGGGTTTTCGAAACAGGTGCAAGTGAGACTTGTTTCAATCGTTGCGTGCTCGACTCGATGCGCTGCAGAGCTCGAGACCCGTAGCAGACGTAACCCAAGATGAGTCTTCGGTTCATAACCGCACGGTAGGACATGCCCGTCAGCAAAACCGACCACCGATTTCCACAAAACTTTGCACTGAAGTAGCTGACACATTCTGTCAAATAGGCTTTTGAGAGCTGGGATTTTACTTCAAGTTAGGCATCGCCACGGCTCAGCTCAGCTTGGCTCGGCTCAGCTCGGCTCGGCTTGGCTCGAAAAATGGAGCCCGAGTCGTTGGCTTTTGAAGCCGGCTCGAGCTAGCAGTCAAGGACGTGGGTTGCGTTCAAGTAGACAAGATTCAAGGAGCGGTTGTACGTCGCATTACTGAATGGGTCTAGGACTGGGTCTAGGACTGGGTCTAGGACGCAAGGTCCAAGATGGTTTCAATCTCCTTGGGCGTGTGCACAACAATCGTCGACGGCTGGGCATAGCCCATGACAGGGGCAAACACAAACGCGTGGATCGCGCCATAGGCATCGCAGAGGCGGCGAGCGGCTCGTGTGTACGCCTCGTCGCGGACGTCCGGTTGCGAGATGCGCTCAATGGCAGGAAGCTCAAGCGCCATGAGCAGCGAGCAAAAGTTGTGGACAACGATGCGGACGCTGTCGACGTCGAGGCCGGGCATTGCGCTGCCCGCCTAGAAACGGACACTTCGTTTTCATTTCATACATCGACGAGATATACCTCGTGCACCGCAGCCATGCGCTCGAGCAGCGTCGCGACGCCACACCGCTGCAGCACCACCGACGCCTAGGTACGCTCTCAGGAATGAAACCCTAACCCGCGGCGCATGTCGCACCTGCGCAGTGGCCAGCGCATCGATACTGGCGCCAATGTCCCGTGAAAGCTCAGCGACCCACGCACCGGCAAGCGCCTCGTAGCGCGAGAGCGTTGCCTACTCGACAGGATACACACGGTGGTCGACTGACTAGTAAGATACGTGAACACAGCCGAGTTGGTTGAGCTGAAAGACGAGCGCGTCGCTCGGGTCAGCATGGCGTTGCTTGGAGGACGCAGCAAGCGCGACGACGAAGCACTCGATCACGGGCGCCACATCGGCGGCTTGAGCACCGAACGGTAGCAGCGCGCTTTGGTAAATATCAAGTAAATGCGCCTAGCAATGTATAAAAATCATAAAAAATCAAAAAGGCAACAAAACACTCAAGCTACTACGTACGAGTTTGTGCGTCGTGTCGAGCGTCGCATGCGCCGCGACAAGGGTAAAGTCGGCGCGGTCTTCCTAGTGCAGGTAGTTTTGCATGGTGTCGAATATTGGCGTGTTTGGGCACGCTACCTGCATAACCGCTTGAAACACGTCCACTTGGTGCTGCCACTGCTTCTCAAAGCTCGTGCGGGCACGGGCGAGCGACCTAGCATGCAGCATAAGACATGTGGCATCCCCACAGCATTGTCCTACTCGACAAGAACAGTGCTCAGCTCGGCGTCTTGGGGCACCAGCTTGGCCATGGTGACGCAGTAAAAACCGAGAAGGTGCACCACTTGATACACAACAGGGCACGCGGTCTGGCCCGTGAGCGTCTGCTGCAAGCGCACCTACGCTCCTTGGACGATATGCGCGGTCGATCAAAGAGATAGCGCACCTCGAGAGGGCGCGCGATGCCCTCAAAGGCTTGGCCCACGAGCCGCTGCGTCTCGCCGGCCTCGGCCCCGTCCAGCAACACCTATTGCGCGTCAGACACTCATCTAGTCGATGCGGATGACTACAGTACTTTAAAGTACTCGTGCTCGGAAGCGATGGCTGCGTGGACCCAGGCCAGCATGTCGCCAGCATACCGGACCGGGTCGTGCGAGTGGATCTCGATGGGCCGAGGAATGCCGTTGGGACCGCCCCGCGTCAGCGCAATGATGAAGCGGCGCAAGATCGCACCGCGTCGAGCAGCTACAAGGGCTTCCTTGCAATGCCTATTCGCCATGGTCTCCGTCATCTCGTAGCATGCGGAGCGTACGCATAAAACGCAGGGCGGGCGACGAGGTGGCGCATGGCGTGGTGCAGCAAGCGGCTGGGCTCGGTCTCGGCGCCACCGCAGTGCTGCAGCGTCCATTGGTACAGCTTGTCGTACGCTGCATCTTGGTGCTGGCCGACGCGGTCGAGCAGCTCGAGGCTACGAGAGCACAGATGCAAGGAGTGGGCAAAGGATAGAAGCAGACGTACCTTGTGGGCCCAGGATTCGCTTCCACGAGACGCTTGCAGTTGGACTTGATGCCACCGACGCGCGAAAGGACGTCAAAGAAGACGGTCATGGCGTCGTCGTTGCCATCGAGCGCCGGCGCTTCGAGGAGCGCGACGTCGACGGGGTCGACTTGGTGCTGCGACAGAAACTGCTTGGTCTCGTCCATCTCGGCCTGCAGCGCGCGCTGCTCGCCCCTACATGTTCGCGTCACGGTGGGCGATGCGCATGCAAATGGAGTACGTAAGGGCCGCGGCCTGCGCGACGAACGCGTTGGACGTGCGCTCGGTCGTGTCGAGGTACGCAGCGACGTGCTGGCACGTGACGTCCATGGCCTCCGCCTTCTGCTGGAGCGCGCTAATTGACGCCAGCACCACGTCCATCTCGCTAAGGAGGCCTTCCGCGACGCGGAGGCTGGCGTTGTCGAGGCTGCTCTTGAGCGCGGTACGCACGCCCGCGGTGGTCCCGCCGACGTCGATGGCGACGAGTGGTGGCAGCGAGCCGAGAAGGCTCTTGGCGCTCGCCATCTCTGCCTGGCTCGCCAAGAGCTTCTTCACGCGGTGCTGCAGTGCGACCGACATGGCAAATCCTCTGTGTGGCCAATTTAAAAGGACATGTCCTAGTTAGGACTCGCAAACGAATATCGGATTTTGCCTGAACAAGTAGATCAGTTCGACTGAGCAACTCGATTACCTTCCATACTCGATAACTTGCGAAACAACTGTGATATTGTCATCAATATGTATCCAAATACAGAGGTAGATCGCCAACGCACACAAGGCAGGACAATAAGCCACTCGGTCCTTGCTGTGCCGTCAAATCGAGCTGTGGTTCCAATGAAGAAGAAGGAGATTGCTAGACTCTACGTATGCGAAGTCTTTGTGTAATAATGAAGATAACGCGAAACACGTTTATATATACAATATTGTATACGGAGCAACTATACCGCGGTCTCGTGAGCGTGGGCCCGCAGTATTTTTTCGCGTCGGCACCCAACGCCTCGATTGGGGTGGCTGGGGATATTGGCAGACCTGTATACTGCTTCAAAGCCCGGCTCTTGCTGCACGCCAGGTGTCGGCAGAGTGGCTTTGAAGCCGCGCCCTTTTCATTACTGCACATTCGAAACGCGTGGCTCGGTGGCGCCAACAGCAAGCTCGAATCTTGCGCGCCATAAATGAGGTTGAAAATACTGTACACCACACGCTCCAATTCCTAGCCTCCGTCCGTTTTGCGGTCTAATTCCGCCGACATGTGTTTGCTACCGCAAAGTTGGCAACACATTCGAGTTCGACCGCAACAAAATGCACACACCGATCGATAATACCTGCATCTAAATGAATCAATTTAGCCAAGCCACGATGGTAGCTGCCATCTTTACTCAATACAAACTGTGATGCCATTGAAGCGAAACTAGAGCTCGCATGGAGACACCACCAATGGTACAGGCACAATGACGTGGCGGCGTGCAATGAAAGAACGGGTAGAGCCGGTTCGATAGAAGTGCAATTTCAACGTGCAAACTCAACCAGCAGCGTGCGATGGAAACGTCAGCCAAGTTCCTCATCCATGCTAATCAAAAGACCGTGGCGTTGCATGCATCCTCTGCAGTTCCAGGAATCCCCATGCGCACGACAATAGCAACTGGTGGCGGCTTTGCCTTGCAAAATGACCACAAACTCAGATACGCGACTCAGTTGACTCAGAAAGAGCCTTTTCAACAGTGCCTCTGCTCTTGAAATCGAACACCGCGCGTCGCATGCAACGCCGATGGTGGAGCTCACACCGGCATCGTGTGTTCATTTCCCAATTTGCCTCGACCACTTCACACCACCACAATGAAGTCGATCGCTTGCCTTCTTCTCGCCACATCGGCCGTCCACGGCCTGCGCCTCTCGGCCCAAGAAAAGGTCGACCTCGAAGCCAAGCTCGAGGCGTGGAAGGCCAGCCAAGCCGGCAAGCAAGCCGAAGCCAACGGCTTTCTCCCGCCCAAGACGGAACACGGCAACCTCGAAGACGGCGAGATTGACGACGAGCTCCTTCGGTTTGCCACGACCCAAAAGATCGTCGATGACCTCAACCAGCAGCACAAGGGCGCCGTCTTCTCGACCGACAACCAGTTTGCGCTCATGACCGAAGACGAGTTTGCGGCCTTTGTCAAGGGCTCCTTCAAGCACGAGACGCCCAAGCGCCAGCTGCGCGGCGACAACGTCCAGCTCACGCTGACGCAGGCCCAGCGAGAGGCGACGGACGTCGACTGGACGACCAACAAGTGCATGTCGCCCGTGCGCAACCAAGGCAGCTGCGGGTCGTGCTGGTCGTTCGCGGCCGTCGGCGCTGTCGAAGCCGCACACTGCCTCGTGACCGGCTCGCTCGTCGACTTTTCCGAGCAGCAGCTCGTGAGCTGCGCCTCGAGCGCGGGCTACGGCTGCCAGGGTGGCTGGCCCAACAAGGCACTCGACTACATTGCGCAGACGGGTCTGTGTACCGAGTCGGGTTTCCCGTACACCTCGGGCAGCTCCAACCAGAACGGCCAGTGCCAGGAGTGCCAAAAGACCAAGGTCAGCGTCGGCAAGTCGGTCGACATCCAAGGCGAGAGTGCGCTCCAGAGCGCGCTCGACAAGCAGCCGGTGACGGTCGTCGTCGAGGCTGGCAACAACGTGTGGCGCAACTACAAGAGCGGCGTCGTGCAGAGTTGCCCGGGAGCGCAGTCGGACCACGCCGTGATTGCTGTCGGGTATGGCACCAAGGACGGCCAGCAGCATTTCAAGATCAAGAACTCGTGGGGCACGGGCTGGGGCGAGCAAGGCTACATCTACCTCAAACGCGGTGTGAGCGGCAAGGGCATGTGCAACGTGGCCGAAGGGCCTTCGTACCCGCCCATGAGCGGCAAGCCGCAGCCGACGTCCAACCAGCCGCAGCCGACCTCCAACCAGCCGCAGCCCACGGGCAAGCCCACAAAGAAGCCGACGCCCAAGCCCACGAAGAAGCCCCAGGGCGACTGCAACGGCTGCAACGGCTGCTACTACCCGGCCGCGTCGCAGTGCTTGACGGCCGACTACGACAAGGAATATTGCGAATACCTCGGTGCCGAGTACGGCACCAAGTGGTGCACGTCGTAAACCGCTTCTCGTCTTCTTTGTGCGTCCATGCGATTAGCTTGTTTCAATTGCTATTCCTTTGCGATAATCGACATTTTTACCGTATCCAACTTAGCTTGCGTTTACTACGGTCAAGGACTCATGCCTTTAGGTTCAAAGATGCCCATGGTACGATGGCGGGAAACCTATCGAATGCCAAGAAGTGTGCGTCTCGTGTCAAAAATAGATGTACTCCTCAAACCTGATAGAACCTTGGGAAACGTATAGATTCGAGATTTAGGATTTTGTACATAAGCTTCCTTGGATCTGCTAGTCTTTTTGTCGAAACTGGTACAACATGCACCGCCAAATCTAAGGCGGTCGCTACAAGTAAAAAAGAACCAACGCGGGTCGATTCTCGCTGGGCCTCTGCCCGAGGTTGCCTTTTCGTTGTCCTATTTTCTTGAACGAGATACGACCTCAAGCAGTTTCTAAAATGCCACGTCAGGGATGTGTAGCGTCCTTGTGGACTAGTCGCACGGTCCAATCAGATGGTTGTACGAGCTGTGGTGGCGCCGTTTCTGGTGCGCCGTGCCTCTATGTGTTCATGCTGCATACAAACACCAAGTGTGGCCGTTGTATCCGGATACGGCGTGGGAAAAAGACGCAACAACCGGTGCACGGCTTTGCACCAACGTCGACTGGAGCCATGGCGCATAACTAAAAAAGCATCGCTAGCTTCAACATCATGGTCGCTGTCCCCGTCTCGCTCCCCAAGCCGTCGCCGGCCAAGTCGCCGCTCAAAACGCTTTTGCTCACGAGCGCCATCACGGGCGGCGTCTGGAGCGCACTGCGCCACTACGTCGCACAACCCGTCGAGCTCGATGTCCTCCAAGTCGTCCGCATGGAATTGGAAGAGGGCGCAGCGTCGCGCCGAGCGCGCTTCGAGTTTGGTAAGCACAATCCGCAGCAGCAAGCCCAGGCCTTCGACTGTCTGTACGAAAACACCGAGAACCAGCACGTTTTCAACCACTGGTGATCGGTCCACACGACTCTCTCCATGCCTCCATATTTAATGATACCACATATTCTCCTGGTTGCTTTGCTGCTATGTATTGAACGCGAGGTATTCTTCCGCAAAATCAAGCTGCTCTTGTTTGTCTGTTGGCGGCGGTTGTGCGGCTGTAAACTCGTTCATGTAGACTGTATCCTGCATTGTGAAGTAGACACTGAAGAGAAGTCTAGGATAACTTGTCATTCGGCCCATCGCGTGCGTGCGTCTCGTCCACGGATGTATCAATGCAAGAAATAACACCAACCATGCCCTGTGTACTTTGATGCCGATAATCCGACTGTTGGCAGGGTTTAAACCCGGTACTACAGAGCTGGCTCTGCCAACACGACTGGTAGCAACTGCGAGGGTGGGTGTAGAAGGGTTAATAATTAAAGTCAATTTCGAATTCTGAATTCGTATCATGCATGATCAACGCTCTGGTCACACTGCCATGTTGAGCTCGCCGTACCGTGTACGCGGAAATGTCCGAGCAAGTCCTGGTGTCCTGGTAGATTATTGCTCTTCGATCAGCTTGGGACCCTGTGCGCAAAGCCGAGCTCGCTTCGCTCTCAAATTATAGTCAAGGGTTGGTCCACGTTGCTGAGAAATAATACGAGAAAATTATTTTTTCTTTTTTCGCAATTGATGTTTTGGTGTTGTATACTCGGGTGTCGGACTTGATCTAGGCTAGCTGAGGCACGAGCGCTATCCGCGGGACAAGGCGCCGGCGTGGCCACTCGTGTTGGCGAGGAGCCGGCGAAGACGACGAAGAGCCAGCTACCCAGGGTTTTGAACGAGGCGGTGGTGCAAGTGCAGTTGAGTGACACGCGCCGCCTTGACGACAATCGTCCATAGACTTGGTAGTGGTGCCAAAAACGTCCCCAATGTGTTGTTCAATAGTACTCCGCCTGTTCACTTTGGCGGTGGGACTCCTTTGCGTGACGGCAGCGGTGAGGCGTCGCCATTGTTGATGGGAAGCGTATCACGGCGCACACCGTACTTGTTTCTTGTATGCACATGCACTTGCGCGTCCTGTAGACACGTTCAACTAACTGTACGTCGTACATTCTTCTCGTCGGTCTTGTGGTGATGTGTCTCGGATTGGTGGTACGACCTGTAATCACTCGGTGGTAATCCTACCACACGGGACATGTGGTGCCATACCAGATGCTACTGCTAAATGGATGTCAAGTTTGTCATTTGTGCGTGATGCAGGTGTGTCGCCCATCACGCACCCGGTATTTGTACACCCGAAGGACTGGACATGGATCTTTCGCAGCACTGCAAACGCACGCGCGGACGGTTCCAACGAAGACCATTTTGACTCGTAGAGACGACAGACATTGTTTCTCAGTCCGCTCCAAGCCTCTTGACAACGGACGTGGCTTCATCCTTGGTAGAGGGCGGCTTCCTTGTCGCGGCTACCGCGCTTGTTGCTTCGGAGACTGTGTGTGATTTCCATTGACGCCGAACAAGACAGCTTCCACAACGACAAACAACCACCACCGAGCGGATACCACACACGATCGGCGGATCTGAGTCTGATAATATGACGCAAGATTGTATTAGTGTACACCACGTTTTATTTCGTGTTCAGAAACGAGTAGACATACGCTAGCAACCGCGTTTGAAATTCGCGGCAGCGTGCTCGGACGACGCGCTCGAGAGCAGTGATATTCGGCAGCGTCTCTAGCGCTCTTGTGAGCTCGATCAAATCAATGGGACCATGGGACGACCGCGGGTGGTCCATGGAAAAATAGACTTTGACGCATGTTGTCGTCTCGGTTGCTTTCGCCATCGATATCCTACGACCATAAATCGCTAAATCCCATATTTAAAGAGCAAAACGTACCAGAGTTGACAGCCCGCGGTCCAGAGCGGCATATCGATCGGTTGCATCTCGTCGTTGGTCATCGTCCGCATGACAATTGTCGTGGCTTTAGACTCACGCTGCGTGAAGCGGCCGTAAATGCAGTTGCCCACCAGCCACTGGTTTGGACTCAGCGCCGTCGTCTCGCGAGCGTAGGCTATGTCAACCTCGGGCGACGTGACGACCACCGCCATCGTCGACGAGTGAACGGCGTACTCGGCTTGCCCCATGACCCACGCGTCCACAATCGAGTCGATCGTGTGCGGTGAAAAGAGCTGAGCAACGCCCACAAACCCGCCGGTGGGCTGTGCGCGGACAAACGAGGCATCTTCGTTCCCAAAAGCATCGGCATGTGCGAACGCCGTCTCGCGCTGGTGGTACATTTGCATCGCGAGCCACTTGATGGCAAAGTGGCGGGGCAAGACATCGCCGGCAAAGAGGCGTGGCGACCGCGACCAGTGGTGCGCCGACGTCTACTCACGCATATCAACCTCAAATTCAAAACCAATTCAGTTTCGTACCGAGTCCAACGTGCTCTGAATCCACGCGTGCAAGAGGTCCAGGACGGCGACGTGGTCGTTGACACGGCGCCAGAGCTGGCGGTTGGTGTGCACGCACTGCAGCGTCTCGTCGGCGAGCGCCCGGACAACGTCGGCCCACGGCAGTAGCGTCGTCTGTCGCGTCTGGAGATGCCGGAGCTTCTCTTGCAGCGTGTGCATGTACTGGGTGAGGTACTCGTTCTCGGTCATGACGAGCTTGGGCGGCAGCATCGCGCGGGGCTTCTTTGTCGACTCGGCCACCGCCATGCCCATGCTTGCGCGCAGTGCACGATGTGAAATGACTGCGGCGGACTTTCTTCGACTTGGAGTTGTGCGTCACACGAGCAGCATGTTTCTTCCAGCCACCACGTGGCGCCTGGCGATCGTCTCATTGACCACGGTTACTGACTAGATTCGGCAGCAGATGGCTGCAATTGAGGCGCAAAATGGCAACTTCACCATCGTCCTTAGCATGCACAACGCCTCACGACATGGGTGCAGAACACACCTGCGTCAAGAGGGTCCGACGCCTCCGTTGGCCGAGTTTATGGAGTCCTGCGTGCGGGTCCAAGACCACGAAACTGCGCGACGTCACTTCTGTTTCAGAAGATGACCGAGTCACTCTCGACCACGTGGTTTTCGTGGGAATCCCACCGCTGCGAAAGATATGACACGGCAATCTCAGTCCAGGTCGAGCGGCATATCGCAAGCCGTGACGGGCATCCTTGCTACCAATCGGAACCGTACGGTTCGTGCGCGTCGACAGACTGTGCGAAACGCACTAGAATAAGAGCAAGCGTGCCACTCTCTCGAAAGGTCGTATGCACGCCGCAGCTAACCGCACAAGCAACGAATCAACCCAAAAGAGATGCACATGATTACCGGCACGTGGCCTGCCACAGGCATGACTGTAGCATTGCCAGCATTTGGCGACGAGCTAGCATCCCAACGTTATCGAAGGTCGCTTGAAATGGTATATTTGTAAACGGGATAGCCGTCACGTCGCCTTGCGGCCGTGTCGGTGCAACACCACGCTTTCTCATTCGATGCTTTCGTGTCCCAGTGACCATGGTTGTCGTGTCGTGGCCACGGCACAACGCAACGCATGTACACTCGAGGTAGCCACTTCGATACTCGACGTCGACAGTCTTTAAAAACAAAAATAGTTTGTGGCCCTCGTGGACAAACGCAATAGGAAAGGATCCTCGGCACGTGCTCGCTGTTAGACTGCTGGTCGTAAATAATTATTGATAATTACAAAACGGACATGCAACGGCGACATGCCAGAGGCGAGAGAAGTGATCTCGCCGACGTTGATGGGTGACATTTTGCATGCCCCACCACTCATGGGCTGCATGGGCAACGACGGTGCTACTAGTGGCTACACTAGTATTAGTTTTGCTCGTTGCGTCTGGTCACACTCTTGTCGCAATTTTTTGCAAATTTCCCACACCACTCGGCGAGTCTGGACTTCCGACCCACTACAATATATCGAGGGTGTGTGCTGCACACTGTCTGGCTCGCCCGAAACGGCCGAGGCGCCCGTCGTGACACCCGAAGCGGCCCGTTCTTGACCAAGATACATCTCCACCACTTGATGCTGAATACCCAAGCGACGTGCCACTTCCAAATGATGAACGCCCTGCGCCACGACGCCTGGCTTCGTGACCACTTCGTCCCGGCTTGCGCCATCCATACGCCTCGCCTTCAACACGGCTAAGCCTCGCCGCTGCTGCCGTCAAGCACACCACCCTCTGAATCGAAAGTCCACCCCCCAAAAACAGTTCAGTGTAATTTGTACTAGTATCTAAAGAGACTCACTTCAACAACAATCCATCGAGGGTCAATAGACATGACAATCAAAGTGTTTGTAAACGCACTCGTTCAAGTCGTGCGTGCTCGAGCAGGTGGCCGTGCCGAGACGGGCCAAGAGGCTCTCTTGAAAAAGTACAATGCCAAAAGAAAAATGGACACCAATGGAAGAACGTAGACGAGCCTATCGAAAGTAGAAAAACCACTACGTACTACTTACTACCTGGGGACATGCAAAGTCTGCACGCCCGATTGACTGCATAGCAGACAATCTCGCTGCTTTTTGGTTATGAAGCACAGCTCCATAATGTGGAGCTGTACTAACACATATTATGAGTTGTAATACCAAACGCTTACCAGATGCCATCAAAACAACCACGTTGATCTGCTGTCTCGTGCAATATCTTCACAGGCGGAACTGCATCGCATTGTAGATGTCAATTGTTATCTACCGGGGTCTGGCGCGGTACTAGAACAATTTTGAACGACGGGAAGAAGTGGAAGCGGTTTTCCGAGCGAGCAAGAAGACCTCATTTAGAAGCGCATTATATTCGAGTGCAGAGCCATTCAGCTCAAGCCATGCATCACGAATGTGTTGTGGTTGATAAAACGTAACCCCGCCCCGCGGACCACCTGGTGCGATTCAAAAGTGCGCGTATTTTGGTCGAAACATGAGCGGGGCCAACAACGGCTAAAATGGTGGAGAAATGCACGGACATTGCCCGGAATTACCCCCAACCCCGGGAACACTTTATCGGGGCCAATAGTGCCGGTTCGGGATAAATTTGTTGCTTTGCGCGTTTTTCCGCGGCTTTTTCTGCCGTTTTGAGACCCTGCGCATTATCCACTAAAACCAAAATCCGCGCAAATTTATACTTATTTCACGGACCACTGGCATAGTAGACACCAGCGCGGTGGTCGCTCCGTCGTAGTTTGCCCTGGATAGAGGATAGGTACGACGTCTGTTATCCGCGAAACACCCATTCTGCGTGTCGAAATGGAACAAACGACCACACAACACGACGGCGATGCGTCACAATTGACATTCGCATAATCCGCACATGCCACCGCTGTTAATTAGCTCTGCAGTTGCTGCTCGAGGCGGTTGCGCGCGTGCACCGCGTCCAAAACGATCTGCAAATGCGCGTCAAAGATCGCTCGCAGGTGGCTTTGCCGCGTAAAGAAGCGGTGTTGTAGCCGCTGGACGAGCACGGCCTTCTCGCACGCTGGGAGGTTGGTCCATTTCACAAAGTCTTGGAGTCGCACAAAGCCGCGGGCGGTCGCGGGGTGGCCCATCACATAGACGCTTCGGACGCGAGTGCCGCCCTCCATCGGCTCGAGCACATTCCTACACCAACATGAAGCATTGCCAATGAAGAACTATTGCAGTTGTACCATTGTTTGCTGTCGACGCTCCATTCGTCAGGCTCCAGCGGGTACATTTCGTCATGCAAAAGGGCGCGCACGACAATGACCGACTGGTGTAGTTCGTGGTATCGGCCGTAGACGCTGTGGCCCAAAATCGCTTGGTGGTCGCGTCCAACGTCCTCGCGGGTGTAGACAATATCATTCTCATCTCGTATCCAGTCGTCGAGGACGAACGATCGCGACTGCTGGCAGTATGCAAACGACCGCTCGGCGATCCAGTAGGCAGTCGATGCGGTCGCAAGGTCGCACTGGAGCACACGCGTGCACACCCCTTGGATTTGAAATAGGCTTTTCTCGCAGCTCACTTGGTAGCGCGCCGAGGGCAGTTGGGATATCGAGTCGCTCAGAACTTTGCCGACGCAATGGTAGAGCTGGTCGGCGAGCCACTTGTAACCAATGCGCCGGGTGCTCTGGGGTCCGTTAAACAAGTAGGATTCGGACCAGCTCGGTTGGTGCGACGGTGTCTACAGCCGTCGAGTTGGATCAAAATAAGAGGTATCGTAGACGTACCGGTGCGGGCGCGGTTGCATACACCCAGCGCTTGAGGACACTCACGAGGAGGGCGTGGGCGTCGAGTTGTTGGCGCAGAGAGCGGTGATCGCGAACTGCCTCGAGCATCTCTTCTTGGAGCGCGCGGGCAACGTCGGCCCACGAGAGCAGCATCGATCGGCGCGCGCGCAAGACCACAAGGCGGCGCTGGAGCTGGTGCGCATACGCCGACAGCGCGTCCTTCTCCGAGACGCGGTCGTCTTGCGGTTGCTCCATCACGGTACGAAGACGGAATGGCACAACTGGATGCGTCGTCGTTGCCCATAGGGTTGTCAGTGCGGTAATCGAACGTACCAGATGTTGACGTCCGTCGTACGGACACGGCTGCAGCACCGCGCTCGTAGGCACTGGACGAATGAGAATGACATCACGTCCGTGTCCGTAACAGCGACGGCAACTTGTCCTTTATCTTGCTGCATTGCTTGTCACGCGTACGTCACTTGGTCCTCTCGATGGCGTTGGGCGATGACTCAACCGCCTCGTCACGGCAGCTGGTGCCACGCCCAAATCGAAGTCTGTCATGGCCAACGCATTGCTCGATTGGCTCGTCGTCGCTCCTGGCTGCGAAAGCTCGCAGCTGCGACACCTGTAGCGACGATGGCTCCTCGTGACGCCCGAGAGTCGGCGTCGTAGTCGTCATAGTCGTACTGCCGGATGCGCAGCGGCTTTGTCACGGTGTCATTGTCGTATCAGCGAAATGCGAGTGCCAACATCCGAACGCAGCATCGCGCGCTTTTGTCGAGGGTCGTTAAATTTGAGCTGCGGCCCTTCGTCGTGTCCTCCGTGATATTCATTCGAGCTCACCATCACTTGTTGCACCCATTGGAGCACACGTCGTGTACGCTCCCTGGTCCTTCTTGTTCTGGGATTGGCATCACGAGATTGCGCAACGTATGTAGGGTGATCACGGAGGTGGCCGCGTCAGTCGTTAGTCAGGTCGTTCGTGACACTACCTCTGAAGAGATTGAACATTCGCTCCATTTCATTTCGCGGCTACTAGTAGTTTGTACGTATCTAGAAGAGCTTGCCAGCGACGATGCCGGCAAAGACGAGCGCGCCAAAGTACTTGTTGGACGCAAACCGCGTCTGGAGATTGATTGGGTCGTCGAGCTTGGCCGTGTTGACTTGCCACGCGAGGTGGCCCGCGGCGACCGCGAGCGCCCCGTAGAACGGACTGCCCATGTCCACCATGTACCTAGATGCCATGGCTTTAACACTCGTATAGCAGCGAGAGACTACCCTGAGAGGCCAAGACCGGCAATCGTAGCAACCGAGAATGCGTTCAGAATCGGCTGCGTCTTGTCGGCAAAGAGGAGCGCAGTCGACTTGACGCCAATGCGCTTGTCGTCCGTCTTGTCCTACATGCAAACTCGATTGTAATTTCCGAGTCCTTTTTTTAAAACGAATGTCGAGACTACCTGGTGCGCGTACAATGTGTCGTACACGAGCGTCCACGAGACACCGGCCGCATAGAGCGGCAGCACAACGCTCCAGTCGCAGCTGCCGTGCACCGCCGCCCACCCGACGAGCGCACCTAATGATCGCGTCAGAGCGTGCCACGTCACGACCAAGGGATGTACCATAGTTGAAGGTGAGGCCGAGCATGGCTTGCGGCCAGTACGTCACCCGCTTCATGTACGGGTACGCAGCGACGAACGCGAGCGACGACGCGCCGAGCCCGATCGTATACGGGTTGAGCTGGACGAGCACGCCCAGCCTAAACCATTGGCGTCCATTGCCCCTCTATTTCTTCTTTTCAACAAGAGCGCAAGGCGTACCCGGCCGACAATTGAAGCGCGAGGAAGCGCCAGGCTTGCGGGTACGTGAGCGCGCCGGACGCAAGCGGCCGTTGGTTCGTACGCTCGACCTGCTTGTCAAAGTCCTTGTCCCACATATCGTTGATTGTGCAGCCGGCGCCACGCATGATGAGCGCGCCAGCGGCAAAGAGCCCGAGCAGCTTGGGGTCCGGGAAGGCGCCGACGGGAGCGGCGAGCGCTGTGCTCCAAAACGTTGGCCATAGCAGCATGTACGTGCCTACCCATGCATATCGTACATTGCAGAATCAAGCAGCAAGATGGTTCATACCGGCTGGGCGGTTCAAGCGCGCGAGTTGGATGTACGGCAGCATCCAGCGCGGCGCGTGCTGCTCGGCCCACGTCTGCTTTTCAATGGCAAACTTGGCATCGGGCTTGGCATCGTCGGGCTTGTCTGTTGGCAACGATGGCAGCGAGCTCATGCTTCGGAGCATCAGCGGCAGTCGGCGCGGCGTCACTGAGCCAAGGCGGTGGACAGATGAGCGTAGGACGCAAGCCGTCGCGATAGACCGGCGCGCCAAGAGAGCTGCCATGGTTCACGTTTGGTGATTGCGCCGAGTTTGCACCAGCACTCGCAACCGGATGCATATCCGGATAAACACACAGACAGGCGGTCGCGATTGGATGGATGCACGCAACGTTGGACCCAAAACTGTCGTGGGCACCACAGGCTGACGGGTGCGCACAAGTACATATACATGCGCAACGTCCTTAGCCTATCGTAGAAAGGTATGGCGTGCTTGCATATCTGCATGCTCACCGATAGACCATTTTTCGAACACCAAATCAATAATATTTGGGTGCAATAAGTCTGAGGGCAATGAATCGACGGTCGCCTTCGCCTCTGCGAGCAACACCAGCACCACATTTCAACGGCCAGCCCGTCCTGGGCGGATTCATATGCCCAAGTCCCATGACAACTTGTTGTAGCAAGTCTCTTTGCACAAGGAATGCACATGCGCAACTTGAATCGCGCCGTTCATCAACCACAGTGTAAATATAGCAAGTGGAATTCGGCGCCACTCCGCGAAACGACGCCGCCGCATGACACCGGCCACGCACCACGGGTCTGTCTATGGCGCGTTCGCCGAGCTCGTGACCAAAGATGACTGCGCAAAAGTGCCCACCGCCAAGTACCACCTCGTGCTTCTCGCATCGGCCAGCCTGGCCCTCTACGCCCGGCAGCCCAAAGCGTGTGCCTGCACAGAGACAACGTCGTGCGTACCGTGCCCGCACGTGGCATCGATCCATGACTTTTCTCTCTTGGGTACGATTCCGCTCCATACGCTTTGTACCATCTATCTACCCTACTCCACGCGCGGGTCGGCTGTTGCGACGCGCCGCAGCGACCTCCTGCTGCGCACGACCGACCAGACTAGTCTCTGGCTCGCGTTTCCCTATAACGCCGCACGCGGTGCCTTCTTGGACGCGCTGGTCACCGCCATGACGCCGTTGACCGTGCCGGTTGAGAGCCTCGACCTCGATGACGTCGAGAACGCGGCACTTATCCCGCACGCCCGCCACGGCATACGCTACACCAACCCCTCGTACGCCGCCATCGGTCGTCGACGACTAAGCAATATGTTCATATAGGCCGACCAAGATGGCCGCATATGTCCCCCGACGCCACGACGAAGCAACAAGCGACGACGAAATGTCCGAGCCCGAGGTCGACCTAGATTTGTGTCATCGGCACACGCCAGCGTATGAGGCCCAGATCATGACGCTCTACATGCAGCTGGATGCGAGAAGCAGTACCGCATCGTCCTCCTCGACCGCCTCGGTGCTGCACGCTGCGCTCCGGGTTGCGCTGGCGCAGCATCTCAAGTACGCCTTGGAGCTGGAAGCGTCCCAGGCACCGAGTGCGGTTGCTCCGCAACCAATGGCAGCGGCGCTTCTCTACATGGTGCTCGAGTTTGCACTGGGTCTCGAGCTTGTCGACGTGCACATCGCGGCAACGCTAGCGATCGCAGTCGTTGACACGAAGCTGAGCCGGTTCACCCAAGCCCACGCGCACGTCGAGACAGGGCTTCGGTGTGTGACCAACGGTTCTCAACTCGATTGTGCATTGCATTGAGATAGGCTTGGCATTGAGATTGAGCACCGGACGCTGCTGTTTGTGGCCTACCTCTGTCTCTGCGATCTTCACGTCGCGCAGCGCCACGTCGAGCGCGCGACTCAGTTCCTCCACCACGCCAAGGACTTTGCGCTACCAGCGTGGAAGCTGAGCTTTCACGCCAACCTCCAAACGCTCCAGGCCATCCCGGTACATCGACCTGTCGTTGACGACAGTCAAGAGTATGAAACTAACGCTGTAGCCGGTGCCCTTTTCCGAAAAGCTCGAGGCGTGGTGGGGCCTCTCGGACGACCGCCCCAAGCGCCCCGAGGTCCGAACGCGGTTTGGCGCCGCCGTCCTCGAGTCGCTGAGTGTCGACCAGCTACTGCTGGCGCTGCCGCCCCGCAGCGTCCTCATCAAAGGTAGACTATTGTCTTGTGTCACGACGACCGATACTTGATTGGGTGATCGTGTGCTCTAGTCGACAAGCTCGTGCAGTATCGTATCGGGTGCGACGACCACTGGACAGTACGGGAGCTCCTTCGGACGACGATCCAGCGCCATGAACGCGGCCAGTCGTCGTCCAAGTGCATCGTTGGCTTCCGGGATCCATCCGTTGGTCGCAGCAACGACCGCGTGCTGCCGTTGCACTTGCCCTTGCGCCGCTGTGACCTCCACCTTGGCCTTCACGCCGTCATCGAGCCGCGCTCAACGCTGCACGTACGCCCCTCTGCACCTTGTACCACCTGGCACCCTCACACGTTTCTAGGCACCGAGCGTCGCCACGCCCTCGGGGTACATCTCTTGCTCGCTCTGCCAGCAGTCGATTCCATTCGACCTTGTCGAAGAACACTCGCACAGTTGCTATTAGCAAGAGCCGCCGCCATCCGAGTCGATGTGAGCATGATGTCACACGCGTTGTCTTGTGTTTCTTGCGTCTTAAAGTGTCAGTGTCACGGGCAGCACCGAGAGGTCCTTGAGGTTCAACAGCACAAACGTGCCCGTGCTTGCAAACGACGGCACGCACACAAGGCGCGTGATCTGTTGCTCGGGACCTAATACCACCTATGACAACGTGTCACAGATGCGAGTCTACCGGTGACGAGCTTGGTCGCAAAGGCCGGCTGGTTGCCCGCAAACAGGACATGCGGACACGCATCGAGGACAAAGACGTCGTTGTCTGGCGACGGGTAGCAGTCTACATGGAGGCACATAGCCACACGATACAAGGACAAGGGTATACCGAGAATATCCGGTGCCGTCGGCGCCAAGTGCCGCCACAACAGCAGGTGCTCGAGCGCATCGATGGGCGACTGGTCCAGCGAACACTGCAAGACGCTGTCGACGGGCTGGCCCGACGAGCCAACGAACGAAACACCGTCGATCGACGAGGCGTACGGGTTTGGGACGAGCGAGCACGTAGCAAAGCGCATGGCGTGGGGAAGGAGACACGCAGCGAGCGGCTGCTGCGGCAGCATGACGTTGCTTGGGTCCCACGCACCCGGAAGGATGTCCACTGGCATCGTTGACGTGAGCGATGAGAGCACAAGGTCGAGCTGCTGCAGCGGCTTGACTTCGAGCTCGCTGGCGCTCGATTTCTAGCATTTGGATCGGTCTAGAGCTAGGATGGTGGCAGGTACCTTGACCGGCTCGAGAAGCACGTCTCTTGCAGGCTTGCTCAAGGAGTTGCCGGCAATGATCGTGTGCACAATGGAGCTCACAAAAGCCTTTTCATCGTCGGCGCCAAGGCGACCGGCGAGGTAGTCAATGGCCAGCGCCGTCGCCACCGGGTGCTGCGTGACGCTGGACGAGCCAAAGCTCAAGCCCGACAGCAAGGCGACGTAGGCGTCGTCCGAGCCTACATGCGCATCGTATGTACATGATTGCAGATATAGAGATGGAAACAGACGTACGCGCTGGCAGCGGCGTCGGTTGCGGGGCGGCCGCGGGCAGGAAGACACGCGTGACGGCAAAGCCTTCGCCATCGGGGCCCATCTCGCCTTGAACGCCGAGAATGACACCGGTCACGAGCGCTGCGATGTCAACCTTGCCCTTGAGCGCGACGCGGCCGCTCTCGTCTTCGAGGAAGAGCTCGTCGTTCTCGGACGAGTACGCGTGCTCGGTCTCTTCAATGGCCAGGATTTCGTCAGCGACAAACTCGTCAAGCAAGTTTGGCTTGTTCTTGAGCAGCTTGAAGACTGTGCCCGTGATGATGCAGACGTCGCCAACGCGCAGGTCGATGATCTTGGGCAGGATCGAGACGCCGGCGGCCGCCACGTCCGGGTCGGCGTGGACGGCTGCGCGGACCTGTGGCTCCAGCGCCTGGAGGCGGCTCATGTACATGTGGGCGAACTGCATGTCGAAGGTCTTCTTCTTCATGACGAAGCGTTCATGGGCGCGGGCGGTCGTCGACGGCTTGCGCTCGTGGGCCATGGCTGTGGTCGCGGGAAACTGGTTGCGCGGCCAATTCTCTCTGAAACAGCATAATTATCGATATTAAATGCTACAGGATGATTAGAGTAAGTGCGAATTGAGTCAATTGCATTTTAATATCTTACGCTATGTATAGAAAATACTATTTTTATTGCAATAGCAGCATACCGCCCGATTTGGATACGGACTTTAGAGGGCCAAACGGTTGGGATTGGCCAAAACGATATCAATATCGACGACCCCAGACCGACTGGCTAAATGCACGCAATTTCCCACACCGCAACAGCTTCAAGCTGGCGCCTCGTCGCTCCGTAGCGAGCCTTCACCACACGCAGGCGAGTGTTCTATACACTCAGCTTGGTATCGCCTTGCGATTTGACCCTCCGCCACCGTCGCTCGTATGTGCGACTGCCCTCGCACCGCTCCTTTAGCCCTTCGAGTTGAAGTTGGCGGCAACGGCAACCTGCCGCGAGAGGGCAGTATGCGCCCGCAAGATTTCTGGTATTGCATTCTCAAGAGAATCGACCCAAGTCACTACTACGCAGTACCCTAGCACCCTAGTGCTAGTACTAGTAAACTAGAGTCACTCCCAGTGTGTGTACGTCCAGCCTGCTACTATAGCACGCTTGATGGCCGCGTCGCGCAGCCGTTCATTCATTCGAAATGCAGCCCAACAAGAGACCATGAAGATACCTTGTTTCCGTTGGAGCGCCGAGCGCCATGCAGCCGAGCTAGCGGCCACCGTGACAACAAGCTTGGTGCAACCGGCCAGTTGCGTGTGCGCAGCCATCGTAAAACCTGTGAGAATGCATATCCAGTGTGACAAGCAGGCCTTTCGCCGGCTTCATTTTGTCTGGTGGAGAGATGGCGACGAACCTCAATCACGCGTTCCTGCAGGCAGCGCTCTCGGTCCGTGGCGCGGCCCCGACGCTCAGCCACAAGCAGCAGGTCACGCGCTTGTACAAGCGCTCGCTCAAGCTCCTCGACAGCTGGGCCATCGACCGCCGCCTCTGGAACGACGAAGCGACCAAGATCCGCGCCCAGTTTGACGCCAACAAGTTTGCGTCGGCGGCCGTGGCCGAGCGCCTCATTCGCGACGCGCAGGCCAAGCTCGTCGAGTTTACGCATCCGGACCCGTACGTGGTCGTGCACATGCCCGGCGGCTCCAAGTTCATGCGCAACCCGCCGCTGCCGCTCGAGGTGTGCTTTCCGGATGGCGTCATCCCCGACGACGTCGAGGTCTCGCCGCTCAAGGCCATTAATATTGACACGACGCCGTACCGCGAGGACGAACTCAAGGAAACCGTCCTCGTCGACTTCCCGACCAAGTCGTCGTACTAGACGATGCGACGCCTGGCTGCTCTCGTAATGCAGCACAAGCAATGTCATTTGTTCACTGCCTGTAGTCTTGGCGTCGTGTCCGCGTAGCACGAGCAAGCATGCAGCCATCATGAACCTCGGTTGGCCTGGGTCTAGCGTTGGTGCATTGCTGGTATCACTTGGAAGAGGCTACGTCCTGCCTCGCCTGTCAGCTCCACAGACTGAGATTTAGAGCGTCGCGCCAGCGTCAACGACAGTGCAGCCGTGCCCGCTGCTGTCAGCTCAAGCTAGCCGTGCTGCGCACCGACGTTCGAACTTGCTGCGTCAACAGCCCTGCCGACGCTTACTTTTGCTGATAGAGCGATAGATGCCTGTCCTGTGCGAGTGAATCTTGCGTGCTTCGGTCCGACGAGCCGAGGTGATTGGCCTCTTCGACGTACGACAGCCGTTCGCTGCCTAGCTAGATGATAGAGCGACTACTGATGGCACTCGAATAAGGAGCTCGTACAAGTCATCATGCCACCTACGATGGGCTATCACCGTATCGAGAGCTGGCTTCGGATTCAGCGCAGAGTGTTGGCAACCGTCCTGGGTGGTTGGGTTGCTTCTGCCTCGTTTGGCGCCTGTCCCGCCAGCCTCGCGATCACCCATGCATGCACGCAGCGCATCTGTCACATGGGCGAAAGCTGCCATCATCCGTCCAGCCTCCGCGATTCGATGTGCTTGTACATGGTAGTGCGCAGAGAGAGTACGACAAAAACAGTCATGCCCAACAGCAGCTTGTGGTGTGGGTTGGCTACATTACGCGCTGTCGTCATCCGCCGCCGCCAGTTGCGCCGCCAGTTGCGCGCGCAACGCTGCCTCCTGCTCCTTGGCGAGCTTTCGGCGCTCTTTCTGGGACAGGCGCTTCTCGGGGCGCACCTTGAACTTGACGGTCGGCACTGGCGGTGCCGTAAGCTCGTGCTCGAACGCTTCTTCCCACTCGACGCTGCCAGCTTGGACCGCATCCGTCGTGTCCTCGTCCTCGTCACTGTCGTCGAGCGCATATTGGCACGAGTACCCGAGCTCGTCGCACTTGCCACAGAGCTCCATGTTGTGCCCAATGGCCGTCTCCTTGTTCATGTTGCCGTCCTTATTCGGCGCAACGAGGCGAAACTCGGTCGGGTAGCAGGGTTCGAAGCAGTGCTTGCATTTTTGGTACACGCCGGCTTCACCGCGGGCCGAGCGCCACCGGTGGGCACAAGCTTGGCAGCCGAAAAACGCCATGCGCGTCCACGTCGGGGCGCGGTGTGGCGGGGCGCGGGCAGAGCGCAGCATCACAAGAGTTTTCTGTCGCCGGTACTTTGGTGACTCTCAGCTCTGTCGCGACGCGCGGTGATTGGTGCGGTCGCAACGTATCCTCTCAGATTCAATCATTGGCCGTTGTTTTCCTCTATAAATGAATATTTGGTGTGCCACGTCATGGGTCCGTCGCCATCAAGCCGCCTCATTCCTTTTGTGCCGTCGCATGGACACGCTCAGATTGCACTTGACCAATCTTCCGACTTTGCACTTTGACATTTTCTTATAGCTCTTAGTATCGGCGATACCCCGCGCCTCGCTGAAGATTCACACTGTGAATCGAGTGATCGTGGCAGAGTTGTCGAGCCAGGATTGGGAGCTGCCATCAACTTGGGGCAGTCGTAAGAAAAACAGCAGTTGCGCAACGCCGATCAGTTTTGCGATTTTCTACGATCTTATTGCGACGGTTCACAACTTGGGTTTATCACTTTGCAATTTCCCTCGCCACGACCATGCCGATTATCCTCCAAGACGACCACCAGCACGCGGCGGCCATGACGTTTACCCCGTCGCGCGCCCAGCCAGAGCGGTCGCAAACCAAGCCGGTGACGTCGCCGCTTACGCATGACGAAGACGAAGCCTGCCAGTCCATGTTGCTCGTCAACTACATTATCTAACAGCAACATCAACACTGTCCTTTCGTTTATGTACGCTATACAACAGCGTGTGGACCGCGTAGAAGCACCGAGCGATGGCATGCGGCCCATGGTGCGTGTCGGCGTCCGACCTTGTGCAAACCTCCACTGTCGCTGGTCCTTCTTGGTATCCATCGGCTTCTTTGCTGTATCTGGTTCTGACGTCGAGCTGCGTCCGTGGCCTGCCACGTATTGTTGTCCCGTGTCGTTGAAGCTGGGCGAACAGAGCAAAGAAGGATCAGACACACGTGGTTGCGCAATGCTTGCATGAAGAACAAAGCACGTCTCTGTCGGAATCCTATGCCCCTTGTCTCTGGGCGAGGTCGACGCTGTTGACGCAGCAGCAGCGACGGACAGGCGGCGTTCTTTGGCAAAACCAGGGCTCGCCACCAGTGCCATCGTATTAAACAGTACCGGTACGATCACTCACATGTCCCGCTCCCAGTAAGCGCGAGGAATGCACCGACGCAGATTTCGTCAACACAGCGATAGAAAGCTGCAAAAATCAAATAAAAATCAAGTCAATTCGGTTGGTCTTATTACGCAGGAACATGGGCCGTCATCGTTGTCACGTCGTATCGCCACTTGGCTTTACACAATGTAGTTGAGAACAAAGAGCGGGGTCGTCGTGGGCGTCGGTGCTTTCGCAGCGTGCACAGCAGCGACGCTGCTCGCTTCGCTGGTCTCGATCGCGCCGTGCGACGTCGAGTAGTCGGCAGCGTCCGATGTGGCGTGTTCGATGTGGTCGTCCTCAAAGCTCGGCATGCTTGTTGGTTTGTTAGCAAAAGGAAAAGTGCAAACTGCATCGTCCTTGCCCTTCTTTCATGGAATGATAAGTCCGTTTCGATGCTTTTTTCGGGTTTTAAGTTTTAACCAGCAGCAAATCATCGACCGAGCTCGCGCCGACGTGGCTTTCAAAACTCGGACGGCAGCGCCTCCGGGGCCAGCGCCGGATAGTGGGTCCGGATCGCACTCAGAATGAGCGCGTGGGCCGCAATGTTGCCGGCGCGGTTAAAGTGCAGCCCATCGGACAGTAGGTGTGGCATGTTTTGCATCGCCGTCCAAAAGTCCACGACCGGCACACTGCGCTCGGCGCCGACGGCGACGCAGGCCGCGGCGTACTTGCCAGTCTCGGCGTTCGACCGGCTCTTGATGCGCGAATCGTCGATCGGCGGCGGCGTCAGCAAGAGAAAGCGGCAGTCGGGAAAGGTGGCGCCGAGCGTCTGCAGCAGGATCTTGAGGTTGCCGGCGTACGTCTCCAATGGCACGTGCTGGGGCTCGGGCACGAGCGCGGCGTCGTTGGCGCCAAGGAAGATCGTGATGAGCGACGGCGGCTTGTGCGACCACTCGCGCCCAAGGAGCGGCAGCTTGGGCACCCAGTCCCTACGCATCACGAGACTGAGCGGCAAATGCAAAGGCGAAGGAACAGTACCGGGTCGTCCAGCCGCTGCAGCCGCGGTTCACCACGTCCGCCTTGCGCACGTAGTCCTGCGTGAGCATGACCTGGTAGCCCATGATGTCGGGGTTAGCGCCATTCTGCGTGATCGAGTCGCCGAGCGTGACGATGATCGGAGCACCAACAACCATCGGGAAGAGCGGGATCTGGCTGGCCGCAAGTTTGGCAAGATCGCCACTTGTTGACTTCGAACTTCGATTTTGCGATCCAAGGGGCTGGCGTGCTTCTGATGTTGACATGCTGCTCGTATAGATGGACCCACGACACGCTATGCGCGAGCAGCTGCCATGGTTCTACCAGTGCGCTGCTAACGTTAGCACAAGCTTAAGCATAAGACGGGACGTGCTCGCCAGCATTCAAAAATGTGGGCTTATTGAAAGACGTTTGGGAGCGCGTCCGGCGTCAAGTCGGGGAATCGCTCCGAAATGGTCGATGTGAGCCAGCGATACAGCAACGTGTTGCCATCGACGCTCAGGTGTAAACCGTCGCGAAGAAGCTCGGGTCGGCCTTGCATCGGGCGCCACACATCGAGGACGGGAACGCCAAGCGCGTGCCCGACAGCAATGCAGGCGTCCGCGTACTTGCCCGCCTCGACGTTCGAACGACTCGCGTACTTGGCGTCTTCAATCGCTGCGGGCGTGATCAACAAAAAGCGCGATTCGGGACTCGCGCCACGCAGCGTATCAACCATCGTTGTCAAGTTGGCCAGGTATTCGTCCAGTGGAACGTGCTGGTGCGCATCGCGCGCGTCCGAAAGCGCTGCGTCGTTGGCGCCCAAGAAAATCACGACGAGGGCAGGCGCTCGGTGTGCCCACTCTGTCCGCAGCAGCTCGAGCTTGGGCAGCCACGACCTACACGTTCACAATGACACGTGGCACAACACATCGGGTACGCACCTCGTCGTCCAGCCGCTGCAGCCGCGGTTGAGGATGTCGGCCTTGCGCACGTAGTCTTGGCACAGCAGCGAGACGAACCCATTGGCACTAGCAATCGCACCTTGCTGTGTGATCGAGTCGCCGATCAGGACGATCGTGGGTGTTCCAGCCATGCTCTTGAAATGCACTTTGCCCTTTGTTTCCGGATCCGGATACACCGTCAACTTCGAACTTCGGCTTCAAGTTGAGGTTCCGGAAGAGTCGCCACGCCTCGTGAGATCTTTGCCCCAGCACCAACGTCACCACGTTCGAAAATCGACTTATCTGTCAGATCGAATGTTTCATTATAGCTCTACCCGAGCTATATCATGTAGCGTTCAAAGGCCATACGAGAAGAGCTGGTTTATGCGAGCCCTTGTACGTGGCCCAGCGCTCGGGCGACGCTTCCGAGGGACCTTTGGCCAAAAGCCGTTTCAACGGCAACTTTTCGCGCCTTTTCCCAAGATCGTTCTCACTTTGTATCTTTTAGCAGATGAAGCGGTCGGTGTGGATCTCGATCGCGCTGCTGCTGGTCGTACTGGCGTCGTCGCTCGTGTGGCCCGCGGCGGCATGGCTCAACTCGAAAGACATTGACTACGAGGCGGTCGAGAAGGCGTGGGAGACTGGCGACATGGACGAAGAGCTCAAGCCCGAGGTCGACTTGATGCACAAGCGTCGGCAGACCGAAGAACGGTACGTCGTTGCACGCATCGAGTCGTCTTGACGCAGCGCAGGCAAAAGCGACCAAATTTCGTGGGCGACGTTGGCATTCCGCAGACGATGCTCATTCTCTTCAAGGACTCGGCGCTGCCCGACTTTGTGCGTTTGTATCCCGAAATTCCCGACCCGACGCATGCGATTGCCGAAATGTGGAAATCGGTACGTTCATTCTTGGCGATTGCAACGGATCTCATATGAAGTGGTAGATGCTCTTTAACGGCGGCATTGAAGCCGAGTTCTTTGAGCTCAATGAAGCACCCGATAAGCTCCTCGTAAAGGTGCAGCGTGGTTGGCTTGCCGAAGACTTGGTCGACTTTCTCGTCAACCAAGAGCAAGTGAAGGAAGTGCTTTGGGACTACGAGACGTACTATCCTCCGGGCACGGACGAAGCGGCGATGGAGAAGGAGAAGGAGCGGCTTCGCCAAGAAGCCATCGCGAAAGAAAAGCTCAAGCAGAAGAAGAAGAAGAAGAAGGCCGCCAAGACCGAGTTGTGAGGCGCTCGAGACAGTGCGTTCCACGACAACGATTCCGATGATGATGATGTACGCGTTCTTCTAAGCTCAATGTTATCGATTTTTTAACATCAATTTTTCTCGTTCACCCTCCCGCGCTCGCTGGCCTATTGTACACCATCTCGTTTTGCAGCCGAAGTGGACGACAGTGGCAAAACAC